ACTTGGTAGGTCAAAGATGGTGGAATGGGGGTGGGGGCCACAGGTAGAATAGAGGCACATGTGTCCTTGGAGGGGCATGGCCGTCCATGAGACACAGAGGCCAGAACTGGGGCGGGCTGATCCTTGGTTGGAAGACTCCGGAGGTCAGTTCTGGAGATCTCAGAGGCTGGGAAGCTGGGGAGAAGGTGAGATGGCGTTCCTGAGAAGGAAGGGTGTGGTGAGCCGTTGGGGTTTGCCTTGGGCACAAGGATGTCTATGCCCAAGTGAGTCCAAGTGGAGATGCCAGCCTACATCACTGCCCTTCCGATTCTGCTTCCTTCCCCTAGAATCACATCCAGTTCAAACAAGTCCTCCTTTCTGATACCATTCGTTGCCCTCTCAATCTAGAGAGCAAGAATTTTGTTTGCTGAGATCAAGAAGGTTAGAGGAAGACAGAGAAAGAGCAACTCTTTCAGATCACTGCTGCCTCGCTTCGCGACGGGGCGCAGGGCAGAGATGGGATGGGCAGCAATGTTGGGTCCTCCAGACACCAGCGCTTCTCTCAGAGAGGGCAGGAGATGCTTTCCTGGGCGGTGTCATTCCTGAAAGGCTCCCCAGTCAAATCAGTCCAAGCCAGGGCCTTGTTCTGCCAGCTCTCAGCCCCTCATGCTAGCACGCCAATTGCCATCGGGGGAGGATTGCTTTAAAACATACAATGTCTGATCTCATGGGCAGCGTGTGGAATGGCCCTGCTTCCTTGAGGGACCAGTATTGGTGCAGCTGTTTTCTCTGAACGATTCTCATCTGTTGCTCTTTCTTGCGAGACTGAACACTCCATAACACGAAAATAATCTCTAGTGGGTTACAGATGACACCAAGGAGCCACTGTTTTAAAAAGTCAGTAGAGAGAGGGATGTCACTATGCGACCTCAAATATTTGAAATTCCCTTCAGTCTACTGGTAGAATTCATAACGGTAAAGCCATCGTGAGAAACACAGTTTCTAATCACAGTTATTCCACAAATATTCTCAAGTATCGCAGCAAATTTTACCCCCTAATACAGGGAGCTTTGGCATTATTTGGCACATAGTAGATACTAGGTAAATACTGGCTGAATTTACTCATCTGTTGGAAAGAACTGGACTTTGCATTTATATATTGAAAAGTTCTTTGAGTGGCTCTTCAAATATATTTAGATAACAGACATAAACTCTAAAATATAATTTTGATTGGAAATGCATATATAAACAAGCAGCATTGACATGTTTAATCAAGTTCCCAACAGAGAGTCCAGGAATGCTTGGAAAGCTCATGTACAGATAATTATAATTAAAAATCTTCATTGCTCTAGTTATTGCAGATCAGGGTACTTTATTTGGATCCAGGAACTCCTGAAATTGTATGCAGCAATAAGAGGGTTTATTTTTGTGCACATTTTTTCTGGAGAAAGAAGCCACAACTTGCATCAAATTATCAAAGGCTTTGTGAGCCAAAAAAAGGGTAAGAATCTCCGCTGTTGATGACTGAGACTTCAGGAGGTGCTCAGATTGCTCAATATATGATTGCTTAATTCACTTCTTCCGACTCTTGGGCCCAGCAGGAATAGAATTCCCCAGGCTTAAACTACTCCAATACACAGTAACAACTCTTTGGAGTTATGTTATTAAAAAAACAATTTTTTACAAAGGAACTGTATAAAAATAGACACTTGGGAAGATTTTAAATTTACACATATACACTGTGCAAGCGTGTCCGTTTTCTTAATCACTTCCTCTCACTTATCTCTCTCCCCAGTAGCTTCCTTTTCCTGGCATTTGGGATCTATTCCAGGTGGCCACCATGACAGATTCCCACAGCAGAGAAAAGCAACAACGTGTGAAAGAGATTTCAGGCGAAAGAGAAATCACAAATGATGAGTTCCTAGGCTTACTGCCAAAATCAGAGGCTGCCCTTCTTGACTGTTTGAGAAATCCTCTAAGTGCCCGGGGTGCCCTTTCTGGGAAAGCCCCACATTCCTACAAGACCTTCAGTGCAGCAAAGACCACTACTCCCTATCCTCCGGGGAAGGTTCCCAAGATGCCTGCAGCACAGACTGGGGAGGAAGGAGCGCCCTCATCAATGAGCAGCGTCCTCGTTGGCACCAGGTTCCAGCAGAGAGTCACATAGAAGCTTGATCCCTGCGAGCTGATGAGCAAGGACTGGGGGCTGTATCTTCATCTCCCTTCACTGAGTCTACAGGAGGATCCTGTGCTCTGAAGTTGCTCATAAATACTGGACTCACCAAGAAAAAATCCTTTAGGGGAAAAGGATCTAAACCCCAGCAGATCCACAGCTTGGTTCCAGATGTGGAGGTGTGGTGAACCCCTAAGATATGTACAAATGGCATGTGTGTTTTTCTGGGAAGAGGCTCTGTGACTCTGAACAGATTCTGAAATGGGTTTGTGACTTCCCCATGATACGGGCAGGAACTCTGCCAGGGAGAAGCTACGTGGGCGCATCTTTTCAGAAAACTTAACTTGGTTTTCTCAGTCAATTCCTTCTCTTAAGATGTTGCAGGAAAAATTATTTAGAAGCCCTAATAAAATAAGAATATTGTTGCAAGCAAAACTTGCCTTGAAACCTACTTTCTATTTTTTTTAAAGTTCCATGTAAAAATAAATACTTCTCAACCAAAGTTAACCGCAGCAAATATGTCCATTAAAAAAACAAACACATGCACAAATAGGATTTCTTTTAGTTGCCTTGTTTTCAAAGTCATGATGTAAATGAAAAGCAAATCTTCCTACTATTTCAGGCACAAATTGCAGGAAACGAGGATGCCCTAAGCTCGGAGTAATGCTGATCTTTTCAATGAGAAAATACCAAGCGTCAAATAGTTAGATTTTAGAATATTTTAATGTCCATTTCTTCAGTGGATGCATTTTGAAATTCTTAGAATTAACAACTGAAAAAGAGCAGAGCAAAGGAAAGATGGAAAAAGCAAACAGTTGGTTCTTGCTGATTTAATTTCAGATTCCAGGCATGATGTGATTTTCCGCAACAACCCACCAAAAAATGCTTAACTCAAAAATCTAGAAATGCAAATACAGACGGATCTTTGGAAACTACAATTACAGCCCATGTAACGGGAGGCACGCAGCCCTCTGGCTCTCAGTGTCATGTGCAAACATGCAGGTGTCGCCTCCACCAGTGAAGTCAGCGTTCACGGAGTCGTGTGCAGGTGTTGCATAATCTGTGTGACTCTTCAAGCTACTTAAGGGTTTCATAACTGATGCATTGGATAAAATTATGTGTGCTTGTTTATGATATATATGTATCTACAATTTGATGTGACCTGGGGCCAAGAAGAAAATTGCAACTCAAAGCAACTATTTACACACATTCAATTCTGAAGTATTGCTTCCTGCCCTAAGTTTGTAAGAGGTATTGCCACTCTGAAGAATGCATGCATGTGTTGGTAGCGCTTGAACCCACTGCTTAGAAACCCGTCTGTCTGCAGCAACTATCTGTTCAATGCCAACAGAGTTAGACGCACGGCACTTCCGTTGCAGAGATTCTGTGGTTCTGCGTTGAGGTATGCTTCAGAGCAGGGAACTGGGAAGGACCCGAGTTGCCTGGTGGCCCAGAGACAACATCTGTACTGGTGACTTAGGAAGGCTCAGGGTGTTCTTTAAAGACAATTTTAAACTCTGGGTGAGCGTCTATCAAAGGCTCTAATTTGCACAATGCTGAAGCAGACCACCAGATGTTCTGATTCTCTCCCTGCGGTTTGCAGCTTCTCGGGTTCCTAAGGTCAGGAATCACAAACACCTTTGTGGGAGGGGAAGGAAAAAAAGAGTTTGATAGGGAGGAAGTGTGTGCAGAGGTGAACTTTGTAGAGCATGTCTTGAGCAAACAGCAGAGACACGGGTAACTCATGGGCAACCGCCCAGCCCTTAGCTGCCGCCAAAGCTACAGAGCCTGGAGCTGGAAGGCAAAGGGGAGGGCCACACTCACACACGCAGTAATACTGCAGGAAGAGAGCCCTACCACGCCCACAGTCCCTACGGACCAGGAGAGCATCAGGTGGTGTTTTTAAGAAAAAATAAAAATTCTGCAGTTTTTATAAGAATACATTCTTTAGAAGCAAGAGGTATTGTCACACCATCCTCTCTCCAGCACTGGAAGACCAACAAACTGACAGGAAAACCTGAAGGGAAATCTTAGCGACTGAGAATGCTCTCGATTCTCCAGGATGCTGGGATGCTGGCTGCCAGGTGGCCATCCAAGACATGTCCCCATGGGGCGCTGGCCGATCAGAACGAATATTTCATTATGCTGGAAACCGCAGATGCTGTACGTATTTGGGGACTTGATGCAGATGTGAAAGTTATACAGAGATTTACCAGTGAAAAGACAATGCACACATCGGAAGACCTTAAACAGAGAAGGAACTAGTCCTCAAATTACCCATGAGCTGTACGCCATGTCATCTGAAAAATAATGATGGCTGGCTGGGACAGGGCAACTCCAGCCTGAGTTCAATTCTAAAACAAACTCCAGATTCAACGCAGCAAAACATGATTACAAGCAGGATTAGCAACAAAGGGCACAGAAGTCATTTTCCTTAGGTTTTCTATACCCCCCCGGGGAACACTTCATCTGCTTCTGGACATTCTGTCCCTACATACAGTGCAAGAACTCCATCTACAGAGGGCTGGAATTCGCCCACCAGGGTCAATCTCACCACAAACAGGCCCTGCGCAGGCCGAGAATGGGAAAGGATGCAGAAGCTTCCTGAATGTGTGGAAGCCAAGACGCTCCCTGCCCACCCTGCACTCTTGCTTCCTGCCAGGCCGGCCGGGCTCTGATCTGCCCCTGCAGCGGGGAGACCCTGGGGGCGCAGATCCGTGGCCCGTGGAGAAGTCACAGTGCTGGTTTAAAAACGGCGGCCAAGAGCTTCTCTGACACAGAGGTTCTACTCAGCCCCCTTGTGGGGGAGGTGGCCCAAAGTGGCTGAAGCACTAATGGACATCTCTTCCTTCTGCTGTACCCTCTGCAGAGCCCGGAGCCTACTTCCCTTCACCAGCATGACCCAGCACCCCCTCCCCAAAACAAACATTTCCTGATAAATAAATAAATAAATTAATGCAACCCTCAGACGTTTATTTTGAGTTTCCCTCTCAGACGAGTCAGCTTCAAAGACAAACCCCTTTGCTCCCAGCTGGAAGACTCCTCGGTGCAGAGGCAGAATGGAAAACAGCTTTTAAATACCTGAGGCCTGGTTCACAAGCTTTGTTACCGGTTAGCATTTGGACTCTTGGCCTGCATGTGGAGGAAGCCCTAAAGGCGCCAGGTGTGGGGAGTGGTGCGGCCACAGCCCACGAGGCCCAGGAGCTCTGGAAGGCGCAGGTGGGAAGGGGCTGGGCGGCCTGGCTGACTGTGGACTGCCATTCTCAGCCCACGCCCCCGAACGTCCCCTCCCAGGGAGTTACTGGCACTTGATCTCAGATTCATAAATGCAAGTGTGTGTGCGTGTATGTGCTTACACAGAAAGGTCATGTCACTGGAAAACACTATTATGTATACAGAAAAAATAAACCTCAAAAATATTGTATTAGCAAAAAAAAAGTGTCTCGTGAGAAAAAGCAATAAACATGATATCTTAACCACAGCTTTTGTTTTAAAAGTCCAACAATACTCAATGCCATGATCTCCACTGGTGGCCTCTGTCCCTGGACTCTGAGGCCATGGCCAGCCCCTGAAGGCACTTGTTCTCCTCCACGCCGAGTGTGACACCAAGGGGAGAAAAAGGAAAGAAATGGATGAAAATGAACCCTGAATAACTGTGATCCACACAGATGTTAGGGCTGCAATGACCACATGACACCACGTCCGGGGATGGAACCTGTGGTGCTTGGAGCACACAACAGCCAAATACAGATATGATTGTGTTTCGAGGAGCAGAGCACCGCGGGCAGCGCGCGGCGCTGCGTCACACACTCTTGGAGACGTTGAGCTTGGTGAGCTCATTGGCTTCTTCCATCCCCATTTCTTCACAGTCGCTCTCCTCTATGGCTTTGCCAAATCGACACCTTTCTTCGGCTTTGACAGGCTCTTTCCAGGGTCTCTTAGAGGACAGGTGAGTGTCCTTGGCCTGTGTATTGTTATCAGAACCCAGAGACGTCTTGTCTGAGTTCTGTATAGAAGGCACCAGGTTGGCAATCTCGTCTGTGGGAGACCGTCCGATGCTGCCGTCCACCTGGACTCGGATGTCTGGGGAGATGGACAGCTGGTGCTGCGGCACGACCCCGTTGTCCATGCACTTTGGGTAAAGGTAGGTCTTCATCTGACCTTTCCCCTTTACGTTGACCGTCCCTCTGTAGTCAAAGTCGTAGCCCATCTTGCTCAGGACGCGGTAGCTCTCTTCGCTCACCTGGATGCGGCACTCCACCCCCGTGGTGTCCATCCTGCTGGCGATGTTGACGGTGTCCCCCCAGATGTCGTACAGCAGCTTGGTGGTGCCAATGACCCCTGCCGTGAGGGGCCCATGGTTGAAGCCAACTCTGAGCTTGAAGTTGAACCAGAGCATGTTGTTGTTGAAATCATCCACCACACGCATCATCTCCTTGGCAAACTCAAACAGGATCTGCAGGTGCTCTTGCGGGTGGCTGCCATCCTGGCACCGTGTGGCATTCAGCCCCGACGCGGCCATGTATGTGGCTCCGATGGTCTTGATCTTCTCGATGCTGCTGTAATCCGGCTTGCTCAGGAGCTCATCGAAGTCCCCAATCAGCTCGTTGAGGACCCGGTAGCACTCCTTGCCTCCCTCATAGTTCTCCTCGTAGAACTCACTGAAGTTGACGATACTGGCGAAGATGACTCCTCCGCTGTCGTGGTTCTTGGAGTAGGTCTGGGAAACCTTCAGCTGCTCAGCCACGTGGTAGGGGATGATGTTTCTCAGCAGCCAGTCGGCTTGGTCCCTCATGCTCTGGATCTTGGTGCGGTGTAGGTCTGCCTCCACGCCCCCGTGGTAGTGAAGGCGGTAGCTGACTTCGAATTCTCGGTTCAGGAACCAGACCAACAAGAGCAGGAGAAAGAAGACAAGAATCGCCTCTTGGCCAATCAGGCTGGCTGGTCTCCTGCTGTCATGCAGCAAGGAACTATTGCACGGATGCCTCTGGGAACTAGAGAGTAAAGAGAAGGGAAAGGACAGACTGTCTTGAGTGCATCTTTTAAGGGAAAGGCTACGCTCAGTACTTCCAGGTTCTGAAACAGCCTAGCTAACCAGCATCCCGCACAGTGTTTTGTCAAGCTCAAAACTTCGACAACCTGTAGCCACAAAGCAACCCGTTTCTGTTTAGGTGGCTGGCTGAAGATGTGGAGAGGTAAAGACTGACTTTTTTAACTGATTTCCTTAATAAGCTTTGTGATTGCTTTGTTTTCAGAAGTCTTTAGCTCCTTGATTTTTAAATTTTTTTTCCGACTTTTTATTTTGAAAAATTTCAACCTTATAGAACAGTTAAGAGACTAGTAATACAAACATTCACACACCCTTTTCCTGGATTCAACAACTCTTAACATTTTGCTACTTTGCTTTTTCCCTCTGTCAACACACATGTGCACATGTGCACACACGCACACTTGTGCACACACATCCTTCTTGCTGCACATTGTGAAAGTAAGCTGCAGACACTGTGACACTTCAATCCTGAACATTTCAGTACCTATCTCCTAAGAGTAAGGACATCCCCCGACGTAACCACACCACCATTATCATACCCAAGAAACTGAACATTCTCTGATAGACTCACTGTTTAGATTCCTAATCCAACTTTAGTTTTGGAAGACTTGTCATTTTACAAAGAATTTTTATAAGTTCTCTACTGTCTACCTGTAAAAAAGTTTGGCAAAATACCATTCTCCACCTCTGGGTTAGTTCTGTTTTACCAAAGTCATTTAAGACAACTTTAACATTTTAAAAAATAATACAATATGTATACTTTTAAGAGTAACACATTGTAGGACATCCAAGTATAAACAATGGAAAATAAATGTCTTTCCTTCAGGGTAAGCAATGTTGTCATTTTCCTGTGGTGTGCACGCTATTCTAATACACAGATGTACTGTAACAACCAGACTCCCACCGACGGGCGTCGGGCGTTTATGCGTTCTGTCCATCTTGTAATACTTGACAATGTTGCAGTGAAATTCCTGTACCGTGTTATTTGTATAGGAATGAGTCTGTGGGATAAACTCCTGGAAGCGGAACCGCTGTGTCATTTTACATACTGCATATTTAGAAGTCCATTAGAAATTTCTATATTGCCCTTTTAGGGACTGAACCCATTTCTATTCCCTCTAAAAACTGAGGCTGCTTTCAGGGGACCTGAAAGTTCAATGGTGTTGAGAGACGACAGCTATCACTGGAGGACTGAAGATGAGTGCGAGGAGCATAGTCTCTTAAAATTTATTTTTTAAATAAAATTTTTTTCCATTTAAAGATACTACATACTACTCATCATAGAAAATTTAGGGAAAAAAGTAAAAAAGAAAAAAAGATTCATCTGTCATCCTACCATCCAGAGGCAATCACTGTTAACGTTTGCTGAATTTCCTTCTAGTCTTTCTTCTATTTGTTTACAATGCTGTGATTGTTCTGTTCATATAAATTTTGTGCCCTGATGTACTTCTTTTTTTTTTTTTAATTTATTCCCCAAAGCCCCAGTAGATAGTTGTATGTCATAGTTGCACATCCTTCTAGTTGCTGTATGTGGGACATGGCCTCAGCATGACCAGAGAAGCGGTGCCTCGGTGCGTGCCCGGGATCTGAACCTGGGCCGCCAGCAGCGGAGCGCGCGCACTTAACCGCTAAGCCACGGGGCCGGCCCATCCCTGATGTACTTCTAAGGTGCAGAGTGGGCTACTAAATTTTATGTAACAATGGGTAGGGTCACTATATAAATACAAATATAATTATACAGTCATGCATCACTTACAATGGAGATACATTCTAAGAAATGCGTTGTTAGGTGATTTTGTCATTGTGTGAACATCACAGAGTGTACTTACACAAACCTAGGTGGTATAGCCTACTGTACACCTAGGCTATATGTTGCTAATCTTATGGGACCACTGTATATGTGGTCCGTTGTTGATCGAAATGTTGTTATACTATATATAAAATGGATGGGTCCTCAGTTTAGATAGGTCTGTGGCACAGAGAGCTCAATTCTGTAATCAGAGTGTTTAATAAGTGTTACTGTTACCTATAACTTAAGGATATTAAAAAATAATGAAATTGACCAATCCTGCCATAATGGCCCTCCCTGAAACACAGTCACAAAAGCCCTGGCCTTGGAATAATAATACCTGGACTCTGTCCTGGCTGGACCACTGCAGAGTTCTGGAACCTCAGGCAAGTCTTGTCATCCTTCTAGGTCTCAATCTCCTCATGTGTAAACTGAAGATGGGCTGGAGCATCGCTAAGTCCCTACTGGCCTAAGGTTCTGTGCAGAAAGGAGTTACCACAGCAGGCCAGAGGCTACCATTTGTAGAAAGGCCTACTGGCAAGGGTGCCTAAGCTGGCGTCAGGGAACTTGGATTTGGGTTCCCTGCATCCCTTGATAAGAGGGGCTCATCATGCCTAGACTGTCCTACAAACAACGTGGTTTATGCTGAGCACCTGCCTTCCTTCTGAAAGTCTGGAATTTTGGTATATGCCAGGCAGAGGGTGCCTATGTGACCAGCCTCCAATAAAAACCCTAGGTACTGAGCCTCTAATGAGCTTCCCTGGTGGACTACATTTCATATGCGCAGTCACAGCTCATTGCTGGAGGAATTGAGTGCATCCTGTGTGACTCCACTGGGAGAGCACTCTTGAAAGCTGGCACCTGGTTTCCTCCAGACTCCGTCTCATGTACCTTTTCTCTCTGCTGATTTTGCTTTGTATCCTTTTGCTGTAATAAATCACAGCCATGAGTACGACTGTGTGCTGAGTCCTGAGTCCTCCTAGTGAATCACTAGACCTGGGCGTGGTCTTGGGGACCACTGACACAGGTTCTATGACTCAGTCCCTATGAACCAGAAACCAAAAAAGACCTCTGTGGTAAGACACACCACACTTCACTTATTTATTTTGCCAACAGTCACTTAAACGGATGGTAATACATATTACGGATCTCAGTACTAAACAATTAACTATCTATTTTAGATGACTAAAACAGGTTCACATCCAGCCCCTCCAGCCCTCTGGTTGGCTTTAGGGAGAGAATCTGGAACAGGAGGGACTAAGCCTTCTCCTGTGGGAGCCCATCTCATTGGGTTAGGAGCTGACCTTTCCTTCTGTTTCTCCAAAGTGGGGACACTGAGGAACAGCCCTCTTTTTTTTTTGTGAGGAAGATCAGCCCTGAGCTAACATCCATGCTAATCCTCCTCTTTTTGCTGAGGAAGACTGGCCCTGAGCTAACATCTATTGCCAATCCTCCTCCTTTTTTTTCCCTTTTCCCCAGTACATAGTTGTATGTCATAGTTGCACATCCTTCTAGTTGCTGTGTGTGGGACGCCGCGTCAGCACAGCCTGACAAGCGATGCGTTGGTGCGCGCCCGGATCCGAACCCGGGCTGCCAGTAGCGGAGGGCGCGCACTTAACCGCTAAGCCAAGGGGCCAGCCCCAAAGGAACAGCCCTCTTTATGAGCAGACGTCACCAAGGCTTAACATCATCTCAGCAGCACAACCAGCATTGTAAATCCCTGTGGTAGAAATGGGTGATGTGTTTCCTCAATCAGTCTCCTGCTCTATCGCTTTTCTTGCCGTGCTATGGCCAAAGCCAGCAGCGTGGCCTGACTCTGGAGACAGGCACAGCTGGTCCCCTCTGGACAGAGGAGGGGGGAAAGCGAAATGTGGGCCGCTGTGAGAGGGAACGGTAAGCAGATCGCAACGTTGCTCTTACCGTTGCTTAAAACGAAGAGTCCTAACACACAGATTTACATGTAGGACCCAGGGGCTGCCTTGCAACAGAAGAGATCTGTAGCAAGTAGGTAAGAGGATTACTTCCAATCTGTAACCTGTATTTCTCATTCTACTACAGAAGGAACAAAGGTGATGGTCCTATTCCTAAATTCAAATAGCAAAGGTCAGTTCCAAAAAGAGGAATTTTATGTGACTAAATCCAAGAGTCAATTTATGACCTAACAGTTGGACATTAAATCATAAATGGAAGTCAGAGTAAAATAGAGTATAATTCATTACCATGGAGAAGAGGGATTGAAACAGAGAAAAACAGAAAACAGAGACCACTCATGGTCCTAACCAGTTAAACACGGGACTTGCTAACATCCTGGTGTATTTCAGTGCCATTGGAGACCTATGCCTACGGATGCGGTGGGGGTCACAGGAGGGGCACAAAGGGGCGTCTGGGGTATGAGTAATGTTTATTTCTTGGTCTGATGGTAGTTAATGGGTGTGCTCACTCGTGAAAATTCACTGAGCTGTATTCTTATGATCTGGGCACTTTTCTGTGCATATGTTATACGTCAATAAAAAGTTAACAAAAAAAGCTGCTAAATGTTTTGCTTTTAAATACCATAGTTGTAATCATACATACAAACACATTTGCATTCTGCCTTTGTTCCACGGTCATTTAATTCTCCTTCCCAATGTCTAAATGTCCACAGATATTTAATTTTTTAATTATAGAATCAGAGGAAAAATCATCATTCATCACTCATTACTAGAGCATAACTATTACATATCTTGCATTTTTGCATAATGAAATTCCTAGCTGTAGCTACAGAACATATGTAATTTCACTTAATAAATGAAAAATTAAAACCATAAATGTTTTCCATATTGGTGCACTTTAACAGTTGCAATATTTGAGTACATGTATCATTATTTAATTGATTTCTTTTTTATTGACAACTGAAGTCGCCGATGAATTTCCAACATTATCAACCACTGTGATTGATATTTGGGGGCATGCAGCCTCTACAAAATGCTGAATTATCGCCTCTGCAGATAAGCAAAAATAGAATTATTAGGTTAAAGGCTAAGAACATTTTTACAGATGGTCAAATTACATTCCAAAACTATTGTACCCTTCTGAGGAGTAATGAGGCATGGCAGAAAGAGCATGGCCTAGTGGTGAGGGAGGCCAGGGTTTAAACACTACTAATGACCAGCTGTGTGACCACAGGCGGGTTCCTTAACTTCTCTGAGCTTCAGCTTCCTCATCTGGAAAATGGGGACAAAGTCACCTGTGTCAGTTACTGTGAGGATTAAATAAACTTATATTTTATAAGTGCCCAGTAGCTAAACAAAGTTAAACACCACTAGCAATTTATGAATATGCTACACCCTTACCTGTACTGGGTATTCATGTCGTAACTTTTTGAATGTCCAATTTAAAAGACCAAAAGGAATTTTGTAGTTATTTAAATGTGCAATGACTTCAGTAGTAACATATTTATCTTCTACCTCCATGTGAATTTTTTGGATTTTGTACTTTATCTATGCAGGTCCTAATTAGCTCTTTATATAACAGTCCTACAAATATTTATCTCAGTCTGCTTTGATCCCCCCATCAATCTGTCAGTCAGTCTTTTATGTTTTTGTGTGTGGTCCTATTTATTATTTGTAAGATCAGAAAGTTATCTCTGTCTTAGAGGCTTGAAAACTATTTAATTTTATTTTTCCTAGTTTATTATATAGTTTTATACAATTTAATTTTTACTTTTGACTCTGCAATTTATTTAGAATTTAGTTTGATGTTTATAGTAAAGCAAGGATTTATTATTTCAAGTTTCTACTCAGTTATTTCATAATATTTTAGGGACTAAAATAAGTACTTTGATTTGTGAGATTTCCTTTGTAACATGCCAATGTCTTATATAAAATTAAACCAAATCTAACGTATATCTTAACAATCATTTCATTTCCCCAATAAGATATTACAACTATGATCTGATATTTCAACAAATAGATATTTTCCACTTACTCTTTTAAGAATGGACATATTGTTCTTTTTATTCAAGATACAACTGTTTTCAGGAAGTGTAGAAATAAGCAGTAATGACACAGTTACTCTCATTTACCCACAGGCACAATGTTAAAAGCTTACCTGAAATTCTGCACTGCATCAAGGTGTGAAATTACCATGGAACTGAAAGTAAAATGCAGAAAAATATTATTATAAAAAGCAGAGAAGGCACTATATAAGGCAATCTGAGAAGAGTTTAAATAAACAACTGTCCTTTCTTTATGTGGAGATCAAGTTGGACGGTTAAGGATAGTTAATTTTTTATTACAATTTGATACTGTGTCTTAATTAAGAAGAACAAAAGGTAAAGACAATGATAAAGGTAAAAAGCCCTCATGTCAGCTATGGAAAGTAGACACAATCACCAGAGCAAAACCAAACAGGAGTCTCTCAGGCTGTGAGGACTGGCCCATGGTGTCCTACAGGCTAGAACTTCCGTCGTGATAAACAGCAGCACCCACTGACAAAGGACGACTATCGAAAGGAACTGTTGGAGGCGCTGGCAGGTTATGGCTGACTGGAGAAGCCAGACTTTGCTATTGGTGGTGCCCAAAGCCATCTAATCCCAATTTTAGGGTGTCAAAACCATGCATAATTAAAGAACTGCCTCTCAGAGAGAGGGACTGCAGCCTGTATCCTCTCCACTTTTGGCGCAGCTTCTGGTGGGGTCGTGTTACAGCTAGCATCCACCCAGGCCCAAAATCCATTGAAAACCTCCCCACCCAGGGAGCCTCGCGCCCTGACACTTCTTTGTCCTCTAGATCCACCAGCCTTGCTCCTGCAAAGAAGGACGTTACTCAGCATCTGTGAGCAGCTCTCCTGGGCCGCGAAGGCCAGGTGAGGGCTCAGAGTGGCTTTTATAATTACACGAGGTGATAAATGACTTTATGGAATAGGAAAGAAAAGCAAGAGTGACATCACAAGACTCAAGTTCTAGGACTTTATGTCTTCTTCTCACCCTGTCCAGACACAACTGTGACATCACCGTAACCCACACGTCTGTGTCCCCCCAGGCTGGCCATGGTTCTCAGCAGAGTCCCCTCCCTTTCACAGGAGTTGAGTTTATGCTTCTGTTCCCCACTTCTCATATTCCCCATCCTGGTTAGGGACGACGAGGTGGACAGGCTCCAAGGATCTTGCATGTGCAGAAGAGGACTGGGTGAAGGGGAGCTTTAACCGCCAGCCCTTCCCCAAGATCTGCTATTTGAACTCTGGGCAGAAAGGCGATGGAGGGGCCCCCATTACTTTGGACCTCTAGACCCAGGAGGAAAAGCCCCACACCAGAGACTCAATGACACTGTGAATGGCTGATGAGGCATCTGTGATGGATCTAAAAGGTTAAAAGGCAGACTGTTGAAGTTCACGCTCTTGGGAAAGAGCTTTATAATGACCATAATTCCAGATGGTCGCACCTTCAGAAGGGAAAAGGGATGCTTTGTTTTGCTTAACGTAATTTAACTATTCATTAAAGTTTCCTTTCAAATACTGAATGACAGTTCTGCCTTAAATTCCCTTTTTGATCTCAATTTGCAGAGAACTTGAATATCTTTCATGTCGCCATTATTCTATTAAGCAAATTGAGGAAGGATACTTACTCTGTCTGTTACTGACCACTTGTTTTGGTAATACCCAAAGATACACAATGGCAATTTCATTTGATATTGCAACAAATTGGATCATTTTTTACTTTTGAATTTACTAAAGCAATGGTTCTAAGCAATGGCAATATCATTCCTAGGGGGCATTTGGAAATGGTAGAGGTCCCTTCAGTTGTCATAATAACTTGGGAAGCCAGGAAGGTGAGAGGTCCTGCAAGCACAATGAAGCAATGTCCCATGTCACTTTAAACATCCTGCTAGCCTGAACCCACTGTAATTATACATCAGTGCTTCTTTAATATGTGCTGATAGTAAAATGCTCTGATAAGCAGTTACACAGAAAGTCCAACATTTAGGAGAAGTTTGTTACAGAAATCAAAGCTTAATGGCTTTAAGACATTATCTGGAAATTTTTGAGTAAATTACTCACTGTGTGCATTCTGCTATCCAAGGTATCATTGTATTTCCAACTACATATTTAGTTGGAAAATGTTAAAAGCCACAAAACCAGTCGCAAACGTGCAACAGGCAATTTGAGATCTATTTTTAACAAACTAAGAAGCAAACATCATTCAGTTAGCAGAACACATGAAAGATGGGGGGATCTTACTGGATTTCACTAATATAGGATGTTTTAAATACAGCACACATCATTGCCATCCTACAGATTTTTTTTTTAATTTTTTGTAGCACAGCAGTGAAAACTGATCCTGTCCCCAGGGGTCTTCCACACAGCTCCTGTTTCTTTTCTCACATCATCTTCTCTTTTCCTCGGCACCTGCCAGTGACATGGTTTTGAGAGCCATCTGAGTACCAGGGACTGAATGTATTCTTCTATAGGTGGAAGAATTTCAAAATAAAAGATATATTTCCAGTGATTAATCATTACTCTAATGTCTCATGTCATAACGTGTCACAATATTGTGTCACTACTTATAAACGAGGCCCAGGTGACTTGCAAGACCATCACACCTCTTCATTTCCTCTACATCAGCAATCTGCAATCTGTCTTGGTAACTTAACCCTACTTCCAATGAGGTTAGACCCAGCTTCCTCTTTCATTTTTGTGTCTACTTATGCCTCTATTCCTTCATTTTCTGGATCATCTTGTATGAAACTGCTCTGGTCCTACTTTCTTAAATTCAAACTTCTTCATTATAAGTAAATTCAAGCATGTGACTACTGCATTATGTCTTCTGGGGAGAGGAGTCACCCGAGATGTCTATATGCAAATATAGTATTAAGTTATTACAAATTATCTTCTTTTTCTTTCTTTTGCATATTACTCTTTGCACATCTCATTAAGCTGTTGACATTGTGTGTGCTGACAGCTATTTCATGTTGTGAAATATGTGTAGAGTAGAGGGTGTTAGCTCTGGTGTGAAAGTGCAGTGAAAGAAGAGTACCTGACGTCAGGAAAGGTGGCCCTGCCGTCCGGAGGGCCAGCCGGGGACCACGGTTGCGTACGTACCTGTCCGGGCACAGGGAGATGTAGAGCAGTAGCAGGGGCCCGGCCCCAACGACGGTAGCTAAGGAGGACCTCATCCAGGAGCTGAGCTGGCAGAAGTTACAGTAGTGCACGACAGTGATGGGGACAGCTGAGCCCATGAACACAGTGAACTGCAACAAGGGCCAGGTGTAGGTTAGGCACCAATCCCACCTCCGCGCCTCCACCTGAGCATCCTGAGATCAAATGATTCGCTCACTTACAAGCGAATCTGTTTAATATAAAAATCTCAGTTATCACAAAATATCCAGCAGTTTCAAGGACAGATCATACATCATTAGGTTAATTACCCAGAGCTTTATGTTACAAGTTTGCGCAGGTACTAAAATTCTTCTCCAGATGTATGGAAATCGCACCTATCATTTTGGAGTAAAAGAAGGTTGGCTGCCCTGCTTGAGAACGACCACCATGTAAACGGTTACCTTCAAAAAGCCTTTCCTTCGAGCATCCTGCTGCATGTCAGCGGAAACGTAATTTGGTTTTAAAGTATCAAATGCAGGCAGCACGCCCCAGTAGTTCATGTTACCCTCACTTTTACCAAAAATATAATCGTCCACAACAGCATTAACTCACTCTTTATGAGGTTTAAACTCAGAAGCTCCTTCCCCAATCAGCAGCAGCCGATCCAGGTGCGAGTCAATTCTCTGCGCCAGTTCTGCAGACTAGCATATTATCTCATATCGTTTGGAAACGTGGGACAGAGGCTTCTTTGTAAAACGCGTAAGAAAATAACAGATTCGAACTTGTGAACACCAAGAGAGGCCGGAGAGGACACGTGTCCACTGGGGACTCTCCCCAGGGCAGGGCAGCCTCTTGGCCAGGACTCATGAGTGTGGACAATGATGGCCTTGAGCATCCAGACAGGCCCGTGTGGTACCAGGCAAGTCTTTAAAAAAGACGAATTTGAGGTAGTGACAAAGAGTTTGTACCTCTTTAAGGGCCTATATTTAAATTGCTGTCCCAAGTTATCAGGTTTATTTTTTTTTTTTTTAAGTGATGAGGGAATCCAGAAGCGCACAGAAGTAAAACCGCCAAGCCTTTACTTACATGTATGTTTGTCTCAAATTCGGAGGTGACGTGTGAATACACTGCGAGAGCGGGGAGGGACACCAGGATGGCGCCGATGAAATGGCGCGGAAGCCACCCAGCTATCCACTCCAGCAGGCGCTTGGTACAAGCCATCACATCCTCCAGGAAAAACACCATCCTGTGACAGGGAGGAGGAGAAAAGAGAAACGGGGTGTCTGTGGGTAGCCAGCCTGCCAGGGAAGATGCAGGCCAGGAACCCTCAGCTATTGCTGTTCCAACTCTGGCCTACACCGTACTGCTGGCGTGGAGGCAGGCAGAGCCCTGCCGCCGTCACTTCTGGTAGATGGTGAATAAACCGGACTTGCTCAGCTCGTCAGACCTTTTTTTGTGTGTGTGTGAGGAAGATTAGCCCTGAGCTAACATCTGTTGCCAGTCCTCCTCTTTTTGCTGAGGAAGACTGGCCCTGGGCTAACATCCGTGCCCATCTTCCTCTACTTTATATGTGGGACACTGCCACAGCATGGCCTGACAAGCGGTGCAGAGGTCTGTGCCCAGGACCTGAACCTGCGAACCCTGGGCCACCAAAGTGGAGCATGCAAACTCAACCACTACGCCACCAGACTGGCCCCTCGTCAGACCTTCTTTTAAGGTCACTTGTTGCATTCTGGTAGGATGTGGCTGTAAAAAAGCCAAGCATAAGTCTCTGTGGGGCTAAATGGGGCACATGAGACCCAGGCGGGCAAACATTAACAGGCCCTGAGAAAGATGACCTTGCTCTGCTTGATGGGCTTCTAGGCGGGGGTCTTGAGTGGGTGGTTGAGGAGGCGTTCTGGAATTTTAGGGGGTCCTTTTGATTGCCTCAATGATTGAGGGGTGCTATGGCACCTGGTGGGCAGGAGCCAGGGATGGGGGGCGTTCCGCGATGCACAGTGAAGCTCTGCCCTGTGCCCCACAGACTGCCACTGCCCCCGGACGTGGACAGAGGCAAGAAACCTACTGACAATGACCTCGGCCTAGAGCCTAGTTGCATTTTGTTTACAAACAGAAAATCGATGCTGTGTGGTATTAACACATGCTGAATTTTCCAGGAATGAACTACTGTATAAACTAAGCAAGGTTACCCTTAGTTTGGGACATCGCCAAGAGTCATTCATCATTTCAGAAATCATGTCACAGGCTGCAACTCAGCTCACGGTGCTTGTGCCACCAAACCCGCACACCTCCAACCGTCTGCACCTGGAGCCGTCACGTTCACAGAGACCTTGCGCATGAGGGCAAACAGCTGACGCCTCCGTTACGACTCCCGGGTGGGGGTCCCTGGTACGTACGCAGTGAGGCACTATGTGTTTAATTTCAAATGGCTTTCTTGCTGTTTCTCTTTCAGATTGGAGTGACAGCATTTTATTGATTCCTTTTGAAATTGTGTGTACAGGGGGGCTATATTTCAAGACAATGACGTGGACATCATAAAATATCTTTCATAAAGAAGAAGGAGCTGAGTGTGCAGGGCTGAGGGCTGTTGTTCTGGAGGAAAAACAGGTCTTGGTGAAGTGAGGGAGCCCTGGGTAGGAGGGCTGCACCGGGATGCCAACAGTGGGAGATGGAGGAGAGGGCCTCGGGGGTCCACTTGGGAGGGACACCCATGCACACAATTCCTCTCTGAAGCCAGCCCCTAGGGAGGGTGGAGAGGGGACAGGCCTGCTGTCCTCACTTCTGGAGGGGCCGGGAGCTGCGGCTGAGTTTCAACAGCACAAGGCACAAAGCCTCATCAAGGCCTGTTGCACACACCCAGGTGGCCGCGCCTTCAGGCCCGGACACCTGCAGTGCAGCGACCACACTTGCTGTGCTTGGCCTCCACAAGGAAACCCCGAATCTCAGACATCTCCCACACAAAGCCAGGCCCCATCTGACCCTTTTAGGTCCTGGATGGTTCTAGCCTCCTGATACTTAAAGGATAATGGAGTCCTTGGACTATTTCCAAGACTAACCACAAATATGCTCAAAGTCAGAACGCATACGCCTTACGAGGAGACAGAGCGAGCCGAATCCCAGGCAGGAGAAGGCAGGACTGGGAGGCCCTCCACAAGGGTCCCCAGGACAGCAGAGTTCTGAAGGCAAGACCCACTGTTTTTACGCCTGCCCCGGGGCACAGCACAAAACAGTTGGAGCAGAGAGACGAGAGCCCCAAGCAGAGATGCCGGGGCCGGCCACTGAAGCAGCCACAGAACCGGCCTCCCTGGGGCGCCTACATATTCCACAGTGTAGGTTCCTGTTGATCTGGGATCCTAAATATGTCCTCAGCAGGGCAAGAGGAAATCCTTCAAGGTCCTGACCTCTCCCAGGCTTTGATGATCCGGGTAAAGTGAACTTTCAAAGTCACACCAGAGGTCATTCAGGAGCACAGCGGCCACCTGATTCGGAAGGCGCTTGCAGAGCGTGTGGGTGTGACTGGCCCAGCACTCAGCACAGCAACGCCTGGCGACTTCGTGGCCTGAGGCCTCTGCAGTTTCTAAACCTGGGTTAGCCCAGGCACTGTAGAACTGGGCCCGAAGAAAGAGGGAACAACGGATAAAAGGTTTTTTAAAAAAGGTATGGAGACAATGCTAGCCTCAGGAAGATCCAGAGCCTTACTAGCTGTAGGCACCGGTGTCAGAGGGAAACCTGGCGCTGGCTGGCGCAGGGAGGGTGGATGTGAGGGGAATGACTGCAAACGGGGACCGGGTTTTCTTTGGGGTGAGAGAAATGTTCTAAAATTATATGGCGATGTTTGCACAACTCTCTAAGTTTACTAAAAATCATTGAATTGTACACTTAAATGAGTGAATTTATTATATATGAATTATATCACAATAAAGCTAATTTTAAAAAGAAAAAAACAAACTAGGAGCCTGAAGATGCCTTGCTTTGGGGTCCCCAGAAGCAGAATTGATGTGGGAGCTCGGCGAGGGGTGTAGAGCTGAGACACAGGGGGCAGGCCCACGGGAGGGCTGTGCTGTGGAGGAGCCACTTGCTGTGGGCGATGCAGCTCAATCCTGGGGGGGTTCCGGGAGACAGCGAGGAGGCACCTTCAAGTTATCTCAATTGGGAGTGAGGGATGAGGGTGCAGCCTCTGGCAGCCAGAAAACACCCTCAGCAGAGAGCCACAGGGACCTCAGGGGGAGCAGGGGGACGGGGAGTGGGAGGGAAGGGCAGTTACTGGCCTTCTTCAAAGGAGGAACTAGCATTTAGAAGCCTCAGGGCATGACCGGAGCTATTATTTCCCATCCTGTCCTGGGATGTTGGGGAAGAGGAGCAAGACTGGAGGTCAGGGCCCTTCTCCCCATTTCTGATTTACCCCCAGGTCCTGGGGGCAATTACCAGTAGGACTCTGCTAGGCGGACCAGCTGTCCTACTGAGAGTGACAGGGCTGCACAGAGGGGGTGGCCACGGTGCCCGGGAGGCAGATGGTGCAGGGCGGTCTGTGTGCCTGTGAATGGAGTGCCCTGTGGGCTGGCACTTAGTCAGAAATGCACAGAGCAGCCGTGAGCTTCCTCAGGTGCTAGGCGGGTCCTGGGGGCCCCTGCTGTCTATGCAGACCCTCTTTCCATTTTTAAATGGGCTGTTTGTCTTTTTATTATTGAGCTGACATTCTAGGTATTAGACCCTTGTCATAGACATGACCTGCAAATACTCTCCCATTCTGCAGGTTCTCTCTCACTTTGGTGTGGAAAGTGATGATGGTATTCTCTGGAACATAAAAGCTTTACATGTTGATGAAGTCTGACTTACTGTTTTTCCTTTGGTTGCTTTGCTTTTCATGTTATATCTAAGAAACCGCTGCCTGGTCCAAGCTCACAAAGACTTCCACCTACGACTCTTTTTGAGGGCTCGATGTCTCGCTCTCACTTCCAGGAGAGGAGCCTGCACACCTGCTGGCAGCCCCTACCATCTGCACCCTGAGCACCACTGTCTCCTTCTCTTCCCTTTCTCATTCCTCATTTTCCCACTTTTCTTTTTAAGTCTCTGATTTGGGAGACCCAAAATGCCAGTGCTGGAGGCACTGGGGCTGCAGGGGGTACTGACCTCCTGGTAAAGAGATGCCCACCTGTGCCGAGGGCAGGGTCTGCAGGGAGGATGCTGTGAGACGGCTGGGGAGGGAAGGAAAGAGGACCCGTCACGGAGATGCCTGCAGAGACAGCTGGCTTCTCAGGGCTGGTCAGTTGTGCCGCAGTTGGACTGCTCAGCCATAAACTTAGGAGCCAGCAGAGGGAGCTAACGCCTAAAAGCTGGAGAACTGCCCTGCAGGTGGGCCTTTACCTGACGGAGACCACGAGGGACAGCACCTCCAGCAGCAGGGCCGCGCTGAAGACAGCCAGGGCGGCCGGCGGGGGAGGCGTGGCAGTGGCCCCGTACTTCAGGAAGCAGGTGATGGAGAGAATCAGAAACACTGTCGTGGACAGAAACACATCCAGGAGGGAGCTGAAGGTGGCACAGGCGAAAGTCTTCACAGGAGAATTCTTTATAACCTGTTTCGGGGAGGGGGGGAGGGTAGCAAGCATGAATAGAAGCCATGACAGACGGCCATGGGGTATAAATCAGGTGGAAAAACAGCAAACCTGTAATAGAGCACCTGCCTACCTGGACCAGTATAGGGTGATAAGTACTTTAGGTGGGTCATCGCACGCAATGGGGGAAACTAAGGCACAGAGAAGTTAAGAAACTTGCCCAAGGTCACACAGCAAGCAATTACAAACCAGTAAGTTCTCACAGGCATGTTACATACTGAACCTGAAAGGTGAGTATCAACTGGCAAAGTCAACAAGTCTGCATCTGTAAAGGCAGTCGCATGAAAGCCATGGGCTGGGAGCTTCCACTGAATGGCTGGGTCCCAGGTTCAGGGTGTGTGAAAGCTGGCTTTGTGACAGAAGGAACAGGCAGGAATGGAAGCAGCAGATGACAGCATGGGTGTGCCGACTGATAGTAAGAGCTGCTCAAGCCTTCATCAGGGGCCTGCTCTGGGCCGGGCTCTGTGCCGGTGCCGGGGCAGACAGGAAGCAAGGCCCCTGGGGGGCTCACAGCCTAATGGTCGGGATGGACAGAACTCTGACACGGCAGGTGGTGTGGGGAGTATAACAGAGACACGCACGTAGTGTCAGGGAATCGGGGGAGGAGGGGGAAAATGGCAACAATGCCAAGAGTCCAAGAGATGACTGGTGCTGGCACCATGTGGACCCTTCAGGGGCACGACCTCAGCCAACACTCACACAGCCCCTAGAGAAGGAAACGCTACCAATCCCAGCGCAGAGATTGGGAGGCCGGGGTGAGGTGGCTACCTAAGGTCACACAGCAGATGAGGAGCCCGGGCTAGGGCCATGGCATCTCGAACACGTCACCTAACTTCTTCATGCTGGTCAGTGGCAGATGAAATGCGTACCTGCATCTAACAGGTGGCGGTGATACTTAGATGAGAAACCCCTGAGCACAGGGCCGGTCACACCTGGGGCCACCCAGGAGCCTCCCCTTGTTCTCCCATCTCCCTGTCCTCTCCACCCTCCACCGAGCAGGGCCAGGCCTCACACCTGCCTTGCTCTTCAGTGATAGCATCCCACCTGCTCCCCTCCTGTCTCGTCCACTCGCGTCAACTTCTACAATTCAGCCACTTGATCTTATTCAACACAATCTGATGGTGCCATCTCCTGCTCACGATCCCTCCACGGCTTCCTCTGGCCCTCAGCATAACGCCCACAGTGTGGGAAGCTGTGGCCCCTGCCCACCTCCTGCCATTCCACCTGAGCCCAGCCCGCCACACAGAGGTGCCTGCAGCTCCCTGAACGCACAGGCCCTGTCTCATCTCTAATGTTTGTAGATGCTGGCCCCTCTCTCTAGAATGTTCCTTTATTTGATTAATTGCTAGTCCTCTCACTAACATGGGCTCAAGAGTTACCTCCCTCTGAGCCCTCAATCTGAGTTGGTGTCGTGCTGTGTGCCTGCAGGGCATCACAGGACCCAGGGCTCTGGACTCTCATTTCCGCCGAGTTATTGCTCCCCCATCAGAGTGTCTGCCATCTCTAAATCCCAGCCCCGAGAATGATCCTGGCGGTGCAGATGCTCAATAAATATTGGTGACTAGAGGGCAGGATGAGAACGGTGCCCTCTGCTCGGGAGGCCCGGCTGCTCAGCACAGGGAGCAGTGGGGAGTGCCTGGCTCTGGATCAGGAGGGTGCCAGCCTTGGCGATGGGATCTCAAGCCACTCAGCTTTCCTGGCCTCGGCTTTCCCTTTGGAAATGGGGATAATCATGAGCTTCCTTAAAGGGCTGCTGTGAGGATTAAATGAGATGATGTTCAGCCTTACAGGCCACTAACCAACCAGCTCACAAGTCCCCTAAAGGAGCCCTGCCTGAGATGTTAACTGGTATTCACTGTCTCTGGAGGCTGACAAAAGGTGGCACCTCAACCCCATGAGGCATGAACTGGCTCTGTCTGGCTCACACTGAATGAAGGTCTGCTGAATGAAAGAATGGATTTGAATGAAAAATCCTTTTGGCTCTGGGTTGGGAGGGTACGCATTTTTGACCTTGGAACACTAACCAGATTTGGGCCCAGAGGAAAGAATGCAGGGATATGGCTGCTTAGAACTCACACCAGGCTCTAGGTTCGTGTATTTATTCATTGTTTCCACCACGCCTTGCTGAGCACTTGTAGGTGTAGGGACTGTACTCGATGCTGGGTAAAGGGGAGAGCAAGAGACAACATCCTGTCCCCTGGGGCTGAGAGTCTGGGGAGGGAGGGACATGATTCAATAACAACCCAAGAAAAGATTACAAAATGGGGTGCACAGTAAGAAGAAAAATTAAAACAGGGAAATAAAATCGAGTTGCGGGTCAGGGAAAGTTTTTTGGAGGCAATGATGTTTGGGCTGAAGGATAAAGGATCCAACAGGATTAAGGCGTGGAAGGGCTGTGGAAGTGGGCTTCAGCCCCAATGCAGGCGAGAACGCAGAGAAAGGCGGAAGGCCTCCTGAGCTCCTTGTCCCATTTCAGGGGGGAAGAGAGCTGACAGGGAACAGGTAGAGGAATCTTGGTCGAGACCAAAGAACAGGTGTGGCTGGAGCCCCCCCTCCCTGCTGGGCTTCCGGGGGCTGGAGCACGGCCAGGGGGCCTGGGGAGGCACTGGTGGCCAAGGAAAGGGACCGGGAAATGACTAGCCTGGGATGTTAGACAAAGGAGAACAGAAAGACTTGGTCTTTTCCTCCGCTGTGGAGATAAATTCACATACAGATGCAATTTAGAGCTTATAGATTGTGGGAAATCAATATTAGCCTTCATTTTCCTGTCACTCAGGAAAACAAAAAAGGCTGCCAAAGCACAAAACTAACTGTGAACTATTCAGCAAAAACAACATGTTTCTTTACTAAAATTATAAGGAAAAACGCACCTCTTCTTGATAGCTGGTCCTGTAGGCTCGCTCTAGCTCCTGATCCAGGAAGTTCAAGCTGAACTGATTAATGGGTGGCTTAAAAAAATAATCTTTCATCAGGCTAGAAGAGACAATAAATGCAATCGATCAACATTTCACACAATCATTATAGTTATTTTATCAGAAGCTTGCAATTAGCTACTGAAACACCATTAATCAAGGATGTCACAAAAGCCATATCTAAGTCATTACATAATAGACATTCCTCAACCGCCCTTTTAGAAGATATCGCTGGAAAGTCTTTTATGTTTCCAAACATAATCACATTTCATGTTTCACCTCCACTATAGAATGACCATTCACCATAACTATAACACACATCATTAGAACCCTGCTTTTGAAAACATCTTCCTAACATCCAGAATTAGAAGAAGAAGGCAGCTTTCTTGTTCTAGGAAACAATCCCTTCTGAAGGACCGCCGATTCCGGTACTGAGAGTACTTATGTTGATCTGGAGGCTTCCAATGAAAACATACTTCAGAACCAGCTGTTCTGTCATTCAGAGAACTGACAGTAATTACCACTGTCAAAGCTAACAGGTTGTTATCACAAAATTGTGTTTATAGCTAGTGTAATTTTGGTGCTATTGTCACATATGCAGATCGCGTGTGAAACCTGAAAAATGATAACGCTCAGTGATTTTAATAGCAGAGAAATCAAACCTGCTTTATGTGACTCTTTCATTCTTTTACGGATTGCTAGCAAACAGTAATATCCTTTTTACACTGGAGAAAATTACAATAAATTTAAGGGACTGTTAACATGATTTCAGAAGGCAAATATAGCCATGGGGTGTAGTCTCTCTCCCTCATACAATAACTACTAGAATTAAGTCAGATGAAATATGTGAAGCGCCTATCATGTGCCTGACGCACAGTAGGTTCACTGTATGTATACTCCCTCCTTTCTTTGAAGCATAGTGGACTTTCTTTCCACGGTAAGTGTGCAATACCTTACTACGCTCTTAGATTCAGAAGAGAGAAAATTCTATCCCCTAATGCTGACTCTCTATCCTCCCTCCCACTCAAGAAGTGTGGACAGAGGGAAAAACAACAAAGCAGCTTGAGGAAGATGTGCAATGGCCACATTTTAGCAATCACGTGGCAGGATACACACTGCTATAAGCTGTGCTGCTCCTCTGAAATTATTATTGGAAGGTTCTACTTCTGGGAACGGAGATTAACTCCTGTTGAACCAATCTCTCTCAGATAACAAGTATAAACTCTGGACAAACATAAAAACAACTCCAGGAAGGCAGTGAAGATTGACCAAAGCAGGTAGAAAATGGAGGAGAGTCACACGTGGAAAGGAAGAGCACCAGCTGAATTTCCCATTTTTTGCCTCAAGACAGCCATTAGTCAACACCATGTGCAGGATGGCTAAAACTCAGGTAGAAAAGCCACAGTCTCACTGGCTTGGAAAACTAGAAAATAGAGTTGGCATGCCCATTGATGGAAAATGAGGTTGTAAATCCCAGAGGAAGAGAACCAAAGAAGGGGAGTCCCAAATTTTGCATGGAAGCTCTGCTCAAATCTCTAGATGACCCTTGAAATACGCATGTGCATGGCAGACTCCAAGCAGCCTAATTAAGGCTAAAAGAATAGCTGCTGCATCTCAGGGGAGACAGAGTTTGGTGTTTGAGTTCAGATAAATTAACTGCTGGCAGCAACAAACAAACAAACAAAATATTGATACTCTTCAGAGGAATATAACAGAATCCAGAGTTTCTAAGCATCATACACAATGTGCACAACACAATTCAAAATTACTAGACATAGAAAGAAACAGGAAAACATGATTCATCCTCAACAGAAAAGCAATCAGTGGAGACTAACCTGAGATTACCGAGAGGTTGGAATTAGAAGTTGGGGTTTATAATGTATGTAGATGTAATACATATGACAACTACAGCACAGGAATCAGAAGAAAGTAATAGGACTCATACAGTTACAATATTTCTACATATAAAGTGAAAGGATACAATACTAACTATAAAAAGACTATAAAAATATAAGGATGCCTATCTGTAACTCCTAGAGCAACCACTAAAAGAAAAATAATGCAAAGAGGTATGGCTAAAAAGCCAGTAAGTACATTAAAATAGAATTAAAAGGCTGAGATTGTTAGAATGATTTAAAAAGCAAGACTCATAAGAGATGAACTGCAAATATAAAGACACAAGTTGGAATTTCTAAAAAATGGAAAATGATATATACCATGCAGACAGTAAGAATAAGAACGCTAGAGTGACTATATTACTACCAGATAAAGCAATCTTCAACACAGATTATTACCAGGCATAAAGAGTATTACCAGGAACACTTCAAAATAATAAAAGGGTCAATTCTCCAGGAATATATAACACTCACAAATGTGTATGTACCTAAAAAAGAGCTTCAAAATACTTGAAACAAAAATTGTCAGGATTAAAGAGACACAGACAATTCCACAATCATAGCTGCAGATTTTAATATCCTTCTTACAATAACTGATAGAACAACAGACAAAAAAGTAAGTAAAGAGACAGATGATCTGAACAATACTACCAACCACCTGGACCTAACTGAGGTTTATGGATCACAACGTCCTACAAATGCAGACTATACATATTTTTTCAAGAGCACATGGTATGTTTACCAAAAAAGACCACATGTGAGGCCATAAAACAAGTCTCAATAAATGTAAAAGGACCGAAATCACACAGAGTATGTCTTTGACTACAGTGACATTAAATAAGACATTAATAACTTATATATCTAAATACCATTCTTCACTAAAAAGGAGCCAGGGCTCTTTCAAGAAATGGCTGATTCCTGAGCTGGGGCAGGGAAGATATAAAATGAGCCTGGAATATCCTGTTGTATTAGAATGTCAGAAATTGCTCAAAACAAATGATGGAGTCATACAAAAGGACACAAGACACAGCCTGGAGTGGGGGCTCCCAATGGCCAGATTCAGAAGAACTAGAGTGTCAAACTACAATGACAGTGATGGAACACATCGTATTAAGTAAAACAGGACTGCATGAGTCCAGGTTGATAATAGATGGGTAGAAAAACTAATAAAGGGGGAGGGGCTCCTCTTTACAGTGGAACGCCGAGCACCAAATGATAAACATGCAGTTGGTGCTGGAGTAGAAAAAGTGTCATTTTGAACCACCATAGTAAAGACTGTTTCAGGGAAGAACCATCAATGGAGATGAAATCTAGGGAAGTTTGATGAGGAATGGGATATTATGATCTTAAAGTATCTTCCCACAGATTGCTTATTAATCACAAGGAGAAAATGATAACTACAGACTGGAGAAGTTGGCAACAGTTGCCTGGTTGATTGAAATGACTATCACTGACGAAGGACAGACGGGCGCCACGTGCCTCTGGATATGATACCTGAGAAGGAGACATCACTCCTGCAGTATCTGGCGGAGATGAATAGCCTGAATGTAACCATGAGGGAAACACCACACAAATCCAACTTCAGGAATATTTTATAACAGAATTGGGCCTGCATTTTTCAAAAATGTCAACATCATGAAAGACAAAGAATGGCTGAGGAACTGTTCCAGATTTAAAAAGACTAAAGAGGCACAACAACTACATAATGCAATACGTGATCCTGGACTGGATCCTGCACCAGAGGGAAAGGAAGTGCTATCAAGGACATTGGACCAACTGACAAAATTGGAATAGATAAAATATCTCATCAATGTTAAATTTCCTGAATTTGGTAACTATGATTATGTAAAAGAACATCCTTGTTTTTAGGAAATATAGTATTAACAGGTAAAGAGCATGATGTATCCAACTTACCGTCAAATGGTTCAGAAAAAATAAAAAATAAACTTCACAGAGAGAGAGAGAAAGAGAGAGAGAGAAGAAGAAGAAGAAAATAAACATAGTAAAATGTTAAAAGTTGGAAAACCAGGCAAAGGGTATAAAGGGAATTCTTTGTATTATTCATGAACTTTTCTGTAAGTTTCAAATTACTTCAAAATAAAGTAATATACTGACAATGGAGTGCAAACACATGGGGAACAAGGTAATTCAGGAAAAGGAAGAGGCTTCTACCTGCAAATCTTTACTTCAGTGGGAACAGCTCCACTCTTACCTGTCCTCTTTGATAACATCAACAAAATGGGCATCTGTTTTCTCCCGGATGTTCTTGAATCTCAGTGGAAGGAGAGCTGACTGGTCCAAGCTCACACCTGTCCACCTTCCCTTCTCCTGTAACATCTCACACAGGGAGGTCTGACTGTTGGTGAGCTTCTCCTCCTGCGGAGGGCTCAGAAGTCCATTTTGCGTTTTGGAGTTAGGTCCTCCAGAAGCCTGCCTCAAGACAAGGGGAGCAGACACAGAGGTTGAAGTGTGCGCATGCAACAGTGCTATTCCATTCCAGCCTGACTGCCACTGGAGTCCCACTGCACTGCGCACTGCACATTTCCACCTGCACCTTCAAATCTCTGTTCTAATGCAAACACTCAACCTCTCCGCCCATCTGCACCTCCATTCCCCTAGTTCATCAAATTGCACCTCCGGGGGATCAGGCAACCAGGAAAGCGACATTGTAGGAAGAGCCTATGGTGAAGGCCCGTAGTGAGGAGATGGAGAGAAGGCCAAGGGAAGAGTTGAGGCTCTCGGAGTTTGCTGACCACAAAACCAGCATTCCAGAGGGCCATGGGGAAGGTTTGGGGTCCTCGAGGGAAGTGTGAGGGGGGATCCAGGGAAAGGAAACCCAGAGCCATACGGGCTGTGAGCAACACGGACTGACTCAGCGTTGCATAAGTCTGTGGGCAGATGACGTGATGGCAGAGGATGACAGGTGTAGGCCTCTCTGGAGAGTCGGCCTTCAGAAGCTTGCTTGAAAGGCTCTTGAGTTTGGTCTATATTCTGCTTCCCACTCCAGTCCTGGCTCAGTCTCCGAGTGAGCCTTCTCTGGCACTTTCCTTGCTGCTGTCCCTAGCCCCAAGCCCCTCTTCATGATGCATCTCGCATCCTGAGGACTGCCCTCTTCTCTTTGCACATCTACATTCTACCCATATGTTGAACCTAGCCTCCAGCCCCACAAATCTTCCCCAACTACTCCAATCCACAAATCTTTAAGCTCCTACTGCCCATCAGGGAGTCCCATCCAGTCCAGCATGTGATTATCCTACTTCACAGGGGTTAGCTCTGACTCTCCATCCTGTCCTTTCACAGTCTATTCAAAACCTAAAGGACCAGAAGGTATGGAACAGTGTTGCCTAAGAGGGGTTATTCTCAGAACCGAGAGGTTGACAAGACAAGAATGTAAACCCAGGTGGATGTGCCAGGAGAGGAACTGACAGGAATAACAGCCAAGAGCTTGTTACCTTGGTGCTGTTTTTATGCTCCTCTTGACAGCCATTTTGCACAGCTCCTCCTTCTGCACCAGCTTCCGATTTGGGAAGAAACGTGATTCCGCATGAAGGGCAGGTCTACAAGAAAAACACAGACCATAGGAACTCACCTAGAAAACACGACCACAATACGTGATTCAAACAAGTCCGCTGCTGTTGCAATTTGCTGTCACATAGAATGGTTGTAACCAAATGGAAGGCTTACTGAACCACTCAAGGATGAGTTAAAAATGAACTGGTGAACTGACAGTGGAAATACATCCAAGGATCTGTACGTGAATATTCCACAACAGTCAAAAAGTAGAAACAACTCAAATGTCCATCAATGGATGAATGGATCAACAAAATGTGGTATGTCCATATAATGGAATATCATTTGGCTATCAAAAGGAATGAAGGACTGATTCATGCTACAACATGGATGAACCTTGAAAACATTACGCTCAGTGAAAGAAGTCAGACACAAAAGGCCACATATCATATGACTCTATCTGTATAAAATGTCCAAAAAAGGCAAATCCATAGAGATGGAAAGGAGATTGGTGGTTGCCAGGGGTGAAGGGATAAGGGAATGGCGAGTGACTCGAATGGATATGGGGTTTCTTTTTGGGGTGGTGAAAATGTTCTAAAATTGACTGTGGTGATGGCTGCACAACCTTGGCTCCACCTGAAGTGTTAGTGAGTGCTCAGTAAATGCTGGTACTTAATATTAAAACTTCTGGTCACTATTCTCTCCGGTTATGAAGAAAGTGCATCTGGTAATCTAACATCCTTGATCACAGACAGGACAGCTGTCCTTGGTATCTGCTCTAGCGTAGCCATTTGTTTTTCAGGTATCTTTTGGCATCAATTTGGTTCCAAATATTTTTCTCTCCTCAATGCACTTTAAGAACAGCCCATCTGCTTCTTAGGAATTCCCCATGGCGTACCAGCTTTACACATAAAAGATGCTTTATACATTTAGAGCCACAAATATGCAAAAGTGACTATCAAGCCTATTGGACACCAGAGGGCACACACCCTCCGCAAAGGATTCCCTAGATACACTACAAGGCCACACAACTTCAGATACCCCACCCTCTCTCTGAAGGTCCTGGCTGCCAAGGGTTGGAAGGCCAGGGGAGACTGGGACTGCCCATGGGGACAGGGCTGATCTCTGGAGAGCCTGGGGCAGGGTCTTCACAGTCGGGCAACTCAAAGCCACATCCCTTTGACAGAGGCTACGCAGCCTGTACCCTGCTGTGATAAAATGTTCTAATACACAGGTGAAGTCTTGCAGAGCTGCCCACAAAGAGCCTCGGGGAGCAAAGGCACAGACATACATTGTCCGAGCCCAGGTGCTCATAAATGGTCTAGGAGACTGCGCTCAGGGAGGTTTGGGGGCTCGTTGGGGCCAAACGTCAAGCAGTAGAGAGCAGGACCTGTGATCGGACTCCTAATGGCCTGAACAGTGCTCACTGCTCACTCTGCATTCCCACAGCAGCTTTGTCCAGGGAGTGGGGACGCAGGGGGCAGGCAGGAGAACCAGCTGTGGACTACAGGCCCTCCTGCAGCAAGGCGGTCCCAGGAACTCGCATCACATGGACCCAGCAGCAGATCATTTCACTGCGCTTTGAAAATGTGGCTCTTTGTTGTTCTATTTCTTCTTCAGCTACTTTCCTTTTTGGTGGGAAATTTCATTGATTAAAACTTTAAAACAAATGAAACAAAAAATCTTTGAGAAACCCGTCTGCCTTGATGGAGACATTCTCATATCTCAACACTCCCTTCTGATATGTGGTGAGAGCTCCTTCTGCACCAGGAGGGCCCCACCATGCAGCAGTGGGTGGGTTTGTTTCCCCTCTCCACCACCCACAGCAATTTTCCTTGAACTATTTTCCAGCTTCATTTTAATCGAGGTAAAACATCTCACACACTGGTTTTTGCCAAACATGCAGACACCTCTGTGAAATATTTGCCAACCCATCAAATGTTGGTATCTCCCCCTACACAGCTGCCAGCATCTCTGTCCCTGAGAAGCTTTCACAGGGAAGAGTGTTCCAGACTTTCAGGAACTATCTGGGGTACCTTACCACCTTGGAGGCATGGCTGCGCAACTGACCTGCAGGGAAGCAATGGGGCCAGGCACATGGAGAAAAATCACTCTTCTAATGATAGCAGCTGCTATGATTTAGAAATGCCTATTGCTGAGGACATCCCCATGAACCGTAATCAGGTCCTTATCCATGTGACGTCTGCAGTCTCGTGTACTTGATCTCGATTAATCCTCACAATGACACCATGAGGCAGAAGTGATCGCTCTTAGGACACAAAGGCTCGTCAACAGCGGGGACCAGACTGCAGGGCTTCCGGACCAGGACCACCATGCAGCCTCTCTCTGGCCTCCTTTCCTGGCTTAAGGAGGACCCAGGAATAATCCTGGCACTTTGACCTCCTGGGCCTCATTCCTCTGAAGTGACTCAAGCAGTTATGACCACCTCCTGACTCTTTTAAGTGGCACTATTAGCACACTGGCTCCAAGGGAAGCTTCATCGAGACCAGCTAAGGTCCCCAGGACAGAGTACGGTGTGGGCCGAGGACTGTGCTGGCCGTTCCCTGGGAAGCCCAAGATCCCTTGGACAACACCCAAGAGCAAACTCTGCATTTTCCCAGATCATCTTTGCTCCTTCTCCCAATGCAAACGCGGGCTTTGGAAAGAAGATTATAACTATTTCTCTAACATACTTGGGCATATTTGCATTTGTTTTTAACACATTCCAATACATGCACCCTACGTTCTGTTCAGAATATATGTTACAGAGCTATAAAATAGTTTTTTCTTCAAGGCTATTTCTCTTCACAAGATAAATCACTTCTAAGTCAACAGCTGTCCTTTTTCATAACAGTCAAGGGAGGGAACAGGGAAACCTCTTTCTGAGAAACGAAGAGGAAACAACATCAGAAAAGCCCTGGCTGTGCCTGTTTAGTCTGCTGAACGTGACTATTTGGCAAGCGGTTCCATGACCAGCAGAAGCACCCTTTGCTCCCAAACTCGAAACTCAGGTTGAACATGGCAGACAGGAACATGTAACATTAATAGCACATACGACTTACTGAGGCCCATTCCAAGGTTCTAAGCTCTTTGCCTATTTCAATTTATTTAGTCCTCATAAGCACCCATGAAGCAGACACAATGCTTAGCCCCATTTTACACATGAGCAAACTAAGGCAGGAAACGGCAGGGACTTGCCTAGAGTCACACAATTAGAAAATGGCAGCGAGGAGTTTAAGCCCAGGTAGCAGCGCCCTGCACCCTAACCATGCATGTGATGATGTCTCCAAGCGAACAGGGACCACCCGCAATGTGGGGCAGAAGTCATCCTACATGCCACTGCTGGGTCACTGCATCGTCATTTAAGCTAGTGGGTTAGCACAGGCATGAATACTTCCAAACAGATGATTTCTGCTAAGAAAACACTAGAGAAAAATAGAAGCAGAATATTAAAGGAAAAGAGAAGCAGTAATTGTTACAGAAAAAGAGAGGCATCCAGAAGCTTTAAGAACAGAAAGCAGTCAGGCCTAGAATACTGGAGGCCAAACAACAACCAACCAAAACAAACACCTGTAAACACAGGCGCCAGAGCTCAAAGTCCTGGAGTGTAGAGTCATAGAACCCTGCTCAGATTCCTGAGCCCCCAGTGACCCCTGCGTGGAATAACTGAGGCTGATAAGGCAAGGAGATTGTTACTATGTTGTGGTAATATTTCATCAGGAAGTCAAATTAAGAAAATATTTGGTATTTTGGGAAATTATGTGCAATACTTCACTCCCCAATGATGCCCGTTAAATGATATGGACGTATCTTTCCACTGTAATTCATATGTAATATATAATATAAATATATTTATATTACATAATATAATTAAAATAGTATAAATATAGTAAAAATTTAAATTGTGAAACAACTTTAGACTTACAGAGAGTGGGAAAGATAGTTCAGAGAGCTCCCACATGTCCTTCAGCAGCTTCCCCTAATGTCAGCCTCTAACATTAACCACAGCACAGTTATCAACACTAAGAAATTAACACTGGCCCAGTACTATTGAGGAAACTACAGACTTGATTCAGATTTCCCGGTTTTTTCCCTAATGTTCTTTTCCTGTTCCAGGACCCCACACTGCATTTAGTCGTCACATCTCTTTGGTCTTCTCTCATCTGTGGCAGTTCCTCGGTCTTTCCTTGTCTTCAAGGACCCTGTCACTTTTGAAGTGTCCTGGTCAGGTATTCTGTAGACCATCCTTGAATCTGGATTTGTCTGATGCTTTCTCCTGAGTCAAGTGAGGTTTTGGATTTGGGGGAAGAATCCCAGACGTGATGTGCCCTCTCAGCACATCCCATCAGGGGCTACAAGACCCCACTAGTCTTATTCATCGTGACGCTACCTTCATCATCTGGTGAGGTGGGGCCTGCCAAGATTCCCACTGTCCAGTTACCATTCTCCCCTTTATAATGAAAAAATATCTGGGTGGAGATGCTTGGAGGTTACAAAAATATCCTGTTTCTCCTTAAGCTTTTACCCACTAACTCTAGAATTCATTGATGGATTTGACTTGCCTGCTGTCATGGTGGTCCCCTCTTCCCTCATCCCTCCTACATCCAGTAGCCGGAATCCTTCTGTAAGGGAGAGTTGTCAGCCTATATGTGATATGCTTTCTCCTAACTGAAGGAAACACACACATGACTAAAAATACAGATAAAATTTGAAAAGTCTTTTTTAAAAAAACTTATTGTACATCCACATTTCAGAGCCAGCATTCAGAATACTATTCACTTACTTTTCTGACAGTTTTATCGAGATGAAATTCACATACCATGAAATTCACCCATCTAAAGTGCATAATTTAATAGTTTTCAGTATATTTACAGAATTGTGCAACCATTGCCACTATGAATTCAGACCATCATTTATAATAAATATTTAATGTCTAAACCATATATATATATGTAGAGAGAGAGAGAGCAATCTATTACCTTTTCCATTTCTATAATGAGCTAAAAGGCCCTCTCTTCCTCAAACTGAGCCAACTGAGCCTATTCATAATGATTTTACACACAAATAACAAGGAGATAAAAGATGTAATCATTTATTTAGAGTCACTAAAAAAGTCATGGCCACTGTCACAAAAGAGGGTCCCCGGGGCTAGTGACCTCAAAGGGAAAGTATAATCCTTTTGAAAAACCAGACAGGTCCTCTCTGCATGGGCCCCTACGTGGGTAAATCCACCTCATTAGCCTCATTACTGACTGTAAACGTGTAGAACACCCTGTGAGCTCACAGCCCCCGGGGTCTGAATAATAGATTAAGGTAAACTCACAAAGACTAGCCAAGCAAGTGCATTTCCAGTGGGGTCTTTCAGAGATGAACTAAGATGCTTTCACAGCTCACTGGTTCACTGATTAGGACTGATGGGACAAAAACCACAATCTTTGAAATCTTTGGTTTTCATTTTCTTTGTTCTTCATGAAGACGTTAGACCAGCTATTTTTATTGGCATACGGAATCTCGATCCATCCATCACCCACAGTGTTCATGATAAATGAGCAGCAGACAACCACTGCAGAGCTGAGGTCACACTAAATAGGCCAAGATGCCCACGCTCCGATGTTACATTTGTGATGTGGCTACACCCCCTCCAGAAACTGAAGAAACTCCCTCAAGTCAGAACAGACAGAGAAGGCACGACCTTCCCGAGAGAGTCAGTGACTCCTTGTGGGCAAACCTCCACAGTATCTCTGGCTCCTCCTGCCCTTCTTTACCCCGACCATGGTCAGCGTCACTCCTCCGCGTGGAGAGAATGAACGCATGTCCCGGTGTGAACGTGCTTCCGCTCCAAGCCAGCATTTCCAGGCATTACCTCAGTGAACCTTCACAACAACCCCGAGAGATTGCCTCGCCATCACCATTTCACTGTGGCCTAGAGAAATTAAATGACTTGTTCACAGTCTCAAAGCCAAGGCTTTGAGAAGGATCCTCAATTTTAAGTTCTGCCTTTCCCACGGCACTAGAGCTGCCTTCCGTGACACTGACATGTAGGGTCCTTGTCTCTAACTGCTCATTCCCTGGCTCCCTTCTCAACTCCTCCTTCCCCCACCCCAAACTCTAGACGTATCCTTGCAAGCTCAGGCTCAGAGAGCTGAGTGCCACGGTGTTGGCACCCTTTGCAATGCCAGGGCCTTCCTGATGAGAAACTCTCGCTGCCAGTCACTTAAGAAGCCAAGGCTTGCTTCAGACTCTATATGTAAGCAATGTTTCCTTTCATAGTTATTTCTAGAATTCTCTTAACTTTCTAATGTTTTTAAAAATAAATTTTATAAAATTAAAAAAAAAAAAGAAGCCAAAGCTTGGGTGTGGGAAGGGTTCCTTCCGACCTATGACCTCAGGGCCACAGCTCTTGTCCTTTGACATCATTACTGTTTCTTGATAAGTCATCACAGTACTCAGACGATTTTACGAAATATTAGGTAAGAATTCTCCAGCTATGAACTGAGAGATAACTTACAGACACACAGGACATGTGTGCTAGGAGTGGAAAACAATGCTTCACAGACATTACCTTGGTTCTTTTTAGTTCTGCCCAGGCTTCTGAGTTCAGTCCTTCGTAGTCTAGCTCTGCAGAGCTATAGTTCTGTGTGTGTCATTAAAGAATTACAAACTTAAGCCAAAAGAAAGTTGTATTTATCTATTACCTGCCAGGCACCATAGTGGACACTTGGGAAAAAATGTAAGTTATTTAACACTTGGGCCCTGCATTCAAAGTGCACAAGAAAGCGCATAAGAAACATAAGTAAACATTGAAGACTGCGTATGTTATAGCCAAGTGGTACAGACTAAATGAACTAAGAATTTAGAGATGGGAGAGACAGCATTATTAGCTGCAGGAGTTATGGAAAACTATAATGAAGCTGAACCGTGAAAGGAAGAGAGGAGTTTATAGGAAAAGGGAAGCAGTAAGCACTGCAGCTGAGAGGAACAGGATCAAGATACTCATGTATTCACTGGGGAATATTTACTGAACACGTTTTCTCTCATTTCTTGGCTCTTGCATGAAACTCCTTCCACTAAACAAATATTCCCCCCAAAAATGCAGCTTGAAAAAATAAATCTGTGGTCAAAACGCCTGAGAATGCTGCACACCACATCCCTCTCTGGAGACCTAATGATGCAGAGTAGCATACTAAAGGCTCTGAGAAGTCCTGCAATAAAGAAACCCTTGCAGTGCTGTTTAACCCAGAATTTCCTACATTTACTTGACCAAAGAACCTTTTTTCTGTACTTCTGTACTCCTATTTCCAACCTGGGAAACCACTGCTCAAGGGAACACACTTTGGGAAACACTGCCTTACACTGGGGAGGAGGGAAGTGTGGGGTTGGTGACAAACCCCCATGGGAGCTAACGCTCACTGGGTGAGGCGGCGGCAGCAACAAAGGAGAAGAAGCCTGTTGACAGGAAGAGTCAACAGACCCTGGTAACGAGTTAGGAGGAACCAGTCTGCGATTCCAACTAATATGGAAGGCTAACTGTAGTGCAGACAACATAAGGCAACAAACCAATGACACACATGTGAGGCGTCATCAAATTTACAGAACCTAGGAGCAAGCAAGTGGTACTTTCCATTTCTATTGTTCAACAGCTCCTACTTGAGGGAAAGCCTTATATGTCACATTATGGTCTATATAACCCTTAAAGCAGACTCCGTGTTCCACCTACCAAGTTTTAGCATGATAGTCCACAACAATTCGCTCAGTTACCCAGTGCTTATGGTTTACAAGGCCTTCACCTGATCCTCACCCCAGGAACTGGAAGCAAAGAAGGCAAGACTGTGGGGAGGACCTCCCCAAAGTGGCAAAGCCTGGAGTGGAGACCAGGTCTTCTATCTTCACGCTCCTTCCACTCCAACTGTGAATCCAAGGAATTCTACTTTCTGGAGAGCCCTCATCTCAGACCTCCTACTATCCCCCCCAACACCATCGAAATAGCCCAGAAATTTTGCTTCAAGATTCAACTCATCTTTCCCTCCTGGAAGGGACACAAAGATCCTTTTTTTGCTTAAATTCCTTTTGGCAAACACAGGCAACTTAATAGATCATAAGATTTTCAGAAAACTTTCAATGATTATTTGGAAAATTTATACATGGCAATAGAATATGCTACATAGTTTTTGTCCATCCAGATTTTTTAAATATATAAATATATATATAACTAGAACAAGAAATGTTCTTTCGGGGAGAAAGGAAACCTTTTTAGGGCAGTTCAGCACAGAATCGCTGTCACTAAAATTGCAAGGACGTGATAGGGTGAGGTCAGCACCTGCACTCCCTAACGGACACACACACACACACACACACACACACACAATCTAAAGTGGCAGGCAAACACAAGTCATTTGTTTTTGGCTTTGAGTTCTATTTCTCTCCTTAAATGCAGCTCCGTTTCAAGGCTGGAGGAAACCGTGTTGGAAAGCAGGTTTTGTATGCCTCCCCACACGATCCTCCCTGCCCGTGCTCAGTGACAGTCTACGGCCGAGAGCTCCTCCTGCTGCTGCAAAACATCAGCCCCAGCAAAGAGGCTGCCTGGAAAGCGTGCAGGCATTAAGGAAATTTCAGATACATTCACGGTACGCATGTGCCAGAGAGCATGGGGAGGACAGGGTCTCACACCCTACCCACCGATTCTCAAACTGGGGTGATTTTACCCTCAGGGACATTGGGCAATATCCGGGGACATTCTTGGTTGTCACAAAGGAAGGATGGGGAGCTACTGGTATCTAGTGGGTGGAGGCCAGGGATGCTGCTCAACATCCCACAATGCACATGACCAGCCCCACCACAGAGAGTTATCTGGCCCAAAATGTCAATGAACGTAGATAAGCAGGAACATACTGGATTAAAGCCATAATAATAGGCCATCATCCCGACCGATATATCTTTGTGTTGTTTGAGAGTACAAAATAGTGAAGTGGACCTGTTATAACTGCCACTCTTTAAAAAAAAAAATGAAAACAGCAAATATTTAAACTGTAAAAACAAACAACAGGTACCAGTGGGGGAACTAAATCAAATGTGAACACTGAGGAACAGCTCATAAACTCAAGTGATTTCATATGCCCAAGGTCCATCATGTTAACTTCTTGGTAGTTTATTATAACAGCAATGGGTTCTTCTAGACAGCCACCTGGAGAGCTCTGTTCCAAAAATGAAATACTACAATGTTCTTGGCAAGCCTGCATTCTTTCAGTGAGCTACGTCACAAGATTCACCGACACCAACAAAATTTAAAATAATCATAAAACATTGGATTTCAAGAGATGTAGGAGTACTTGAGAAAGCGGTCTCTGAAATAAGTTACAAACTAGCTCTCCAAGCAAGATGTGAGGAGGTTCACCTTTACTATCATTTATCATTACCTTTTATAAATCCCAAAAGACATGATAGGTCGCAGAAAAAGAAAGTGATAACTCAAGTGAGAAGCATCTTTATGCAGTGTAGAAAGAAAATGGAGGTGCGTAATACGTCAAAAAAGCAAAGACATTAAAAATGCAAAATGCTGCTAACTTTATACTTAACTAAAAAATTGTAAAAACCAAATTGAAGGGCATTCCAAGTCATCTGCCACAGACCCAAAGGCTGTTTATTATTTCACATGTTCTACTGCAGAATTAATATAAAGTTTTAGAAGTAGGAAAAAAAAAAAACTAACCTTAAGGGTATCAAAGGTTTTGACAGTCTGCGCCAAGTCACTGACACTCCCTGGCGATGCTGTCCCCTGTCCCCTAGGGCCCGAGGACACCCGTGAGCCGTCAATGACCTCAAAGCCAGAAAGCAAGGCCTCTGAACAGCTGCAATGAGACTCCTTCGCTCTCTGACCCGCTATCAGGTATGTCTTCAAACCTACGGATAAAAATTACAATCAGCACAGATTGAAACCACCATTGGTTGAAATGCAGCTCGATCTTGCTCTCTGTGCAGGACATGCTCCTGAAAAGTTGAGAGTAAAGTGAAAATGTGAACACGTCATACTTTACTGTTGACTTCCATGATCTTCTCAGAGACGCGCAGCCTCAGGGAGAACGTCTGCCTCCGAGACACATCATTTCCTCACCTTACATTTTCTCTGAATGGTGACTGCACATTTTACCTCGGGGGACTGAAATGAGCATTGGAAAGTTCCTCCCTGAAAGGGTCACCTGACCTCTCTGTGAAGGCAGCAGAGCTGACTGCTGGTGGACCCTCTACATTTCTTGGGTTTATTTCGATCTGTTGATACCAGTCACTGACATTTATAATGGTCAGTCTAGATGTAAGGACAACCTAGAGAAGGGACTGTTTTACCTCTGTCAGCGATTGCAAACTAGCAGGAAAAGTAAGACCATATGTGCACAAAAGGGTAATTAAAACCTCTCTTGATTCAGATTATCAAGTATCTGTTTTCTGTTGGATCCAAACATTCACAGCAAGAACATTCAGCTTTTGTCAAGCTGTAGTCTATGTGAATTTTATTCTCTCACAAAATCCTCATTAAAACAAAGGTTTGTTAAGTGGACAATTAACCTACATCTTTACAATTCTCATTAAAAGCTGAGATCACACACTAACGTCTGCTACACTGTTAAGCAGCTGTGACAGGCAGGCAGGCCCCTGCTCTGGGTGTTCAGAAGAATTATCTGCTGGGAAAATAATAAGGAGCAGCTTTTCCAGACAGAACTCAAGGAATTTCTGAAAAAGAAGAAAACCTCATTTAAAGAAATCCATCGTTAGTCCTTACTGGAATTTAATCAGACTGCAAATTTATTGAAGGGAGTGACAATGTAATTTATTCAATAAACAGTTATTGTAGGCCTGGTGTATGCTATACATGGAGAATAAAACCAAGAACTGAACAGTGTCTCTGTCTTGGAGAATTTAAGCTCCAGCAGAAGGTGATAGAGAAAAGCCATCACAGAAAGATTCGATCAACAGGGGGTGTGTCTACACTGCTGAACATGCACAGTTTCTTATACTCGGTACATATTTCATAAATGCTTTAAAATTAATTAATCAAATAATCTAGGGACTACTTAATCAATAACCCTTAATTATTTTATAATTATACCACCATTTCATCACTTCATCTTCCTTCATCTCCCTCTCTCCTCATAAAAACACTACACGGTGTATGTTTTTAAGTCAACCGTTCTGAGAATTTGGCTAGAGTCCTTGAGACACCCAGAGACATCCTAAGTACAGCCAAATCACAGCTGTAAACCAGAAGACTTAGATAAATGATTTTAAGTGCTAACTGACCCCAAAGGAGATCGGTAAATGCTCACTCTTACTTAGGTCCTGAACTTCCTGTGTATCTTTTTTCCCCAATGTATGTTTAGGATCAATCACAGTTATAACTAATTACACGTGTAAACTTGAAATGGAAAGAGAACTGGAATGCGACGGAAGAGTAAAAGCACCTTTGTCTGGATTTCTCAGACTCGGTCACAGAAACACTGAACTGATTTTGTCGTCGCACCTTGGGAGAGTCAAAAAATGCCACCTCTGTGGGCTCACCAGAGAAGAGTCCTATTTCTGACCTGTTGTGGGCTCTCAGAGCTGGCAGGCTTCTTCCCGGCTTCATCAAAGAAGTGCATAGAAGGGACCACCCCTGGAGCTGCTCTAGTGGTCTCTCCCTGACTCCTGAGCATGGTGGGTAAGTCACCCAGCAGCAGGTGGGGAGAGGGGCCCAGGAGAGCACAGGCTGCCGCTGCACAGGGCCACCTGGGGGATCAGAGGGAGGAAGGACATATTTTGATTGCGGGGAGTGAGGAGCTGCCGCTGAAGGGAGAGGTTTTCTGTTACGTCTGTAGCTGGCCTGGACCCCAGAATAGTGTTCCCTGAGATGTGGGCACTCAGGGCTGCCTGCCCGCGCCTGCTGCTCCCTGTGGGTGAAGACTGCCCCAGGAACACGAAGCCCGGGTGACCAGAGAGGCCCTGCTCTCAGCTCTCTCCAACCTGGGAAGGGTCCTGGGTCAGGTAGCTGCTTGTCCCCTCCCTGTGCACTCCGGACCTGCAAGAGAGGTGACGGAGGCCTTTCCTGGAGGCGTGACAATGAGAGCAGGGAACAGGCTGAGCCAGCACACCTGAAGAGCAGCAGCCTGAGTCCGACAGATCCATGCATGATGCTGAAGCTACTACTTCAAAGCAGTAGCATACCCTCCACCAGGGGATGCAGAGCAACAGCTGCCAAGACGCACCATTTCCTCACATTACCTTTGTGATGTGCTTGCAAACTCTGACGCTGCCTTGGGGTGCACATCCCTTAGGTTTGCTGTTGCTGCTTTGAACTGTGACTACTGAGTCACTGTTCCCTCACCAAACACTTACTAAGCGCCTCCTGTTTACCACACACTGTGATGGGTGCTGGAAGGACGAGAATGAACAGGTCAGCCACGACCCCTATCTGTACGGGTCACCATTACCTGAAGAGGGATCTAGACAGCAGGAGGTGTGACTACAAAGTCCCAGGACGAGGAAGTCAGGGTGCTCTGGGAAGCACAGGAGGGTGGCACCTCGCAAGGACCTGAGGGTTAGAGAAGGCCTCCTCGCTGAAGTGTCCCCCAAGCTGAAGACTGAAAGATGAAGAGAGGTCAGCTCAGTGAAAGCCAACAGGGCCAGGGGCTGGGGCAGCTCTCATCAGGCCATGGATGTTACTAGAACGATCCATGAACAGGCCCTCCAAAAGGGAGCCTTTGGCAGGCATAGTAGAGGGATGGAAGTGAGTTTAGTGTGGCTGGAACAGAGAATGTGGGGGGGGTAGGGGGAATGGCCAGAGATGAGCTGGAGCCCATGCAGGGCACGTATAAACCAGCTCCAGGAGTCTTCACGGTGGGGGCAATGGGGGTTGGGGGAGAAAGAGTCATGAGCTGGCACAAGGCTTAGGAAAGGCCAGCCACCACCTCCTCACTGTGTGACCTGGAGTAAGACTTCACTGCTCTGCATCTCAGTTCCCTCATCGTCAGGCGAGGCTAAGAATAGGACTTTACCCCATAGAGCTGGTGTGAGGATTAAATGATTAGCACACACGAAGCCTTTGCAACAGTAAAAACTCAACAACATTAGCTATTATTATCAATGTGGATGTTGGACTGCTTATCACTGGGAGTCTTTTTCATGCTCCTTCTACGTACAACAGTATTTGCAGAACTGTTAAATCGATAATTGCTCCGAATTTGTTTCTAACTTGAATTTTTCTTTAGGGAGCCCCCAATGACCAACTTGCATTGATAACACAATACTGCTAGTGTTCCAAAAGTCAAACATACATATGTGTCCATGGCAAGCAAAATCGGTGAACCAATTAAGTATCTTTTTATTTATGCTTCAATACGGAAAGCTAAACTTAAAGCGAAACCTTTTGCCAAAACTGGAGGGATATCAGCATGATAAGGTAAGGAAAGCTTAGCTGCCCAATGTGAAATACCTGGGGAAATGCAGCAGGGCTGGGTGACTGAGTTCCATCCTCCTCAAATTCTTAAGTCAAGAGAGTTTGATTTAAGAGATAAAGATTTAATGAGTAACCACACACGTGGACCCTGGGGTCCAAGTTCATTAGAATGGCTCTTTTGGAGCAGAAGGTCAAAATAAGGCAGCTAAATGATTTAAGTATAGTAGTGTACACAGGAGAATAATTAATAAGATTTCTTATATTCTTTCCTGGTAATTGATTTTAAGCCTCACCAGCATTGATACCTTTTATCAGCTTAACTTGAGAGAGGCTAGAGAAGCAGGGACCTTTCCTGCTGTGCTCCTGTCTGATGGAGGAGCTAGTCTGTGGCTGTGTGTGTCGAAGAGACTGACATGGTTAACATTCTTTTTTTTTTTTTTTTCTTTTTGTGAGGAGATCAGCCCTGTGCTAACATCTGCCAATCCTCCTCTTTTTTTTTTTTTTTTTGCCGAGGAAGACTGGCCCTGGGCTAACATCCATGCCCATCTTCCTCCACTTTATACGGGACGCCGCCACAGCATGGCTTGCCAAGCAGTGCGTCAGTGCGCGCCAGGGATCCAAACCGGCGAACCCCGGGCCACCACAGAGGAGCGCGCGCACTTAACCGCTTGCACCACCAGGCCCACCCCGACATGGTTAACATTCTTAAACATTAAGTATATCATCAATTCTTTGAGGACAAAAACTGTGCCTTGTGCACACTTGGTGCTTAGTTTTGGTGAACTGAATGTAATTTGAGTGAGTGCCAAAGTCCATTGTCGAAAAGAAGGTCTATTCTGGCCTCCCTTCTTTATCATGGTCTTTTTCTGCAGGCCTCTTGCTTTGGAGTGAGATATCCTCACTCACAGAGTCAAGGCTGACTGTCAACTCCACAGAGAGAGGAGAATAATCAGGAAGGAAAGAATGTTTTGAGACATGACCTTGGGAGTTAGCAAGATAACATAACAAACGCCTGAAGCTTGCATCACTAATGATTTGAACAATCAACACAAGAGGGCAATCAGTTCCGCTAGTTCATCAACTTTCTAAAAAGTTATTTCACTCTGTATTATATTTTTCCTCATAACTAGGTCTCTAATGGCCGAGCAGCATGAGGACTATTTAAACTAAAATGTGGTCAGTCAATAAGGAAAGAAAAGATTAAAAGTGCTCTTAATCTACAAAATGACCAGGGCCTACAAAATTATGACAGGATATTTCATAATTATCTATCGCTTCTGCTTAAGAAGACCAAAAGTTTTGGTGAAAAAAAATAATCATTTTTCACCTTGTTAACATGAAAACAGTCTGGATGGGTCTTTCTACTCCTACCGAAAACAATTAATCACCAGGAGTCATTCATCCTGGTTCTCCCAATGCTTGACAAGAAGTCACGAGTTCCTACAGCAAATGGCTGTTGGTAAAACTTAAAAAACGA